CAGCAGGTCGAGGCTGCGGTGGCCGGGAGCGGCCACTGTACTCCAGTCTGGACGACAGAGTGAGACTCCAATTCAAAAAAAAATAGAGCAACGTTAAATTTCAATGATCAGACTGAGGTTCTGGCTCAGCTCAAGAGTAAATGGGGAGAGGGCCCCAATACATGCCAACCAGCCATTGCCTCCCCAGCATGTAGGTTTGAGTGTTAGCCCCTTCATGCCAGAGAATGGCAGTTTCCTTGACTTGAGATCCAGGTCTGAACCCAGAGTGTAGAAAAAAAATTTCATCCCTTCATGACCTTCATAGGCTCCTACCCTCCAGATACCTCCTCAACTTTACGGAAGTGGCCTGGTAGAAAAGCACAGGCCTCACTTTTGGATTTTCAAGACTTTATCTTCAGTTATTTCTAAACATGTGTACACATGCATCATTCCAAAAATTATTTGACAGTTCTCATTTTTTCATGCTGATAGAATTGGTGGAGCAAGCCCATTTGTGACACTTTACTTTTCTTGGCCCTAACCATCCTAAAAGCAATTCATGTTACAAAGAAACTGTAATGATAATAGCAATGATTGGAGGAACACCAATTATGTGCCAAGTGCCCTGCATACATTTCATATTATTTAATCCCTACAGCCAACTTCAAGTGTAGTTATTATTAATCCCATTTAATGTGTGAGAAAAGTCTGAGAGATCTCATGACTTTACCAAGGTAAGACCACTAGAAATACCAAAGTGAGTGCTTTAAGTCTGACCTCAATGACAAAAGCTGGCAAGCACCTGTGTTTTCACCCCTTTTTTGTCTTCTTTCCTTCTAGGTTGTTCTAGATGTTGGTTGTGGATCAGGAATCCTGTCATTTTTTGCTGTTCAGGCTGGAGCTAGGAGAGTTTATGCAGTTGAAGCCAGTTCAGTATCACAATATGCTGAGGTAAGTGGCCTTATTTTTAAGGCAGCTACCGACCAGGTCTTCAGTGTACTTCAGGGTACCCAGTTATGGACTTTTCCAGGTAGGTCATTTAGAATAACTTTTTTTCCAGTCCCTAATTTTTTTTTCTACTGGAATATTACTGCTGATAAAACCTGACTTCCCTGCAGTGATTGATATAAAACAATCATATATATTTTTTAATGTCACTGATACTAAAAATATAGCAAAAACTTCTCCCTTCCCAGTCACTGGGTGGCAGGTGGGGCTGGAATGGGAGGGAGAGATAGATAAACGTTTTCTTTTTTTCATTTTAATGATGTGGGGTACAATTCAGGACTAGGTATACAAGTGGTCATTGTGCAAGTAAAGTGTGGACCTACCTTTGGTCCCCATTTTGCCTGGTTTGGGATCAGGTACCCTTATTGATGTTGTGTACCCCCTCAAACTACCCCAGCAGTATCCCACTACTGTCAATCCCTTATAGTATTACAATAAATGTTCATGGTCTGCTTATGAGTGAGAACGTGTCGCACTCTGTTCTTTGTTTCTGTGATAGATCACTGAGTATGATAAGTGATTTCTTTCTTTTTTTTAAAATGTATTTTTTATTTTAAAATTATGGGGTACAGTTAAGGGTTAGGTATACAAATATGCATCGTTCAGGCTTCCTTGTTGATAAGGGGTGTTCCCAGACAGATATTGACTACCGTTAATCCCACCTCCCTTCCCCTCCCTGCCCCCCCATAGTTTCCCACCACTGTCAATCCTTTTCTTATAGTATTATATAGATGTTCAAGGTCCACTTATGAGTGAGAACATGTGATACTCAGATCTTTGTTGCTGTGAGAGATCACTCAGTATTATAAACTCTAGTTCCATCCAGGTTGCTGCGAAGTTCATGATTTTGTTCTTTTTTATGGCTGTGTAGTATTCCATCATGTATATGTAGCATTTTTTTTAATCCAGTCCTCACTTGATGGACAGCATGGTTGGTTCCAGATTCTTGCTATTGTGAACAATGCTGCGATAAACATACGTGTGCAGGTATCTTTTTGATAGAGTGATTTGAGTTCTTCAGGGTATATTCTCAGTAGGGGGATTGTGGGGTCATATGGGAGGTCGATATTTAGAGCTTTGGAATCACCACACTGCTTTCCACAGAGGTTGCACTAGTTTATACTTCCACCAACAGTGTAGAAGTGTTCCACATCCTCTCCAACATGTTGTTTTTTGAGTTATTGATAATGGCCATTCTGACTGGAGTTAGGTGGCATCTCAGTGTAGTTTTAATTTGCATCTCCTTGATGATTAATGAGGTTGAACATTTCTTCATGTGTCTGTTGGCCGCTCGTAGTCTTCTTTTGTGAAGTGTCTGTTCATATCTTTTGCCTGCTTTGTAATGGGGTTGTTTGGTTTTTTTCTTTTCAACATGTTTTAGTTCTTTGTAGATCCAAGATGTTAGGCCTTTGTCAGACATGGAATTGGCAAATACTTTTTACCAGTCTGTGGGCTATCTCCCTGCTCCCTTGATGGTTTCTTTGGCTTTGCAGAAGTTTGTCAGTTTAATGAGGTCCCATTTGTCTATCTTATCTCTTATGGCCCATGCGTTTCAGGTTTTGTTCAGGAATT